TGCACAACACACAAAATACACCCCCACAAAAAAAACCCTTAAAACAAAATGTGGGTGTCATATAGTATCTGGCTATCCCTTTGTAAGAAACCTCTTGTAAGATCTGAGTACCCATATTTGTTTCTGGTCAAGTGAAATGGTGCACATATACAGATCTTGAAGCAATCAATACCGGTAGAATCAAGAGAGAAGAGAGTTCCCTGCCTACCAAGACACAAGGAAAAGAAAGGAAAACACACTTGAATGACCAGTGAATAGTGGTTAAGGCCAAACTGGCTGCAGAAACAGAGGCTGTATGTGCATCCTGTCTATGAAGAACAGTTTGCAGCAGTTCATTAGCAATGAGTAGTAAGTACACATTTAGGGTATTTTCTTTTCCCATTCCAAAAAGCAGAAAGACTCCATTTAAAGTAGATTTTAATAAGGCTATAATGCTAGCCATATATTTAAGAGACCATGAGCACTCTACTAATTTACCAAGTGACACCCCATTAAAATCAATAGTTAGACATTGTTCACTGGCCAAATTTGGGTCATTAACAAATACAGCCTTGCATTATTGATATAATTTGTGTTTCATCCTTAGGAGAAGAGATGGTGTCTTAGCTTTTCTTCCTGTTTCTGTGATAAACTACCCTGACAAGGGACTGGAAAGATGGCTCAGCAGTTAAGAGCATTTTCTCTTTTACCGGAGTGTTGGGGACCCCTGCTGTTTAGGGTAGCAGTCTCCCCATGTCCGGATAGCCACAAGCTAGCTCAGCGCGAATGGGGGGACTCCCCTTCTCAGTGGGGCGCCTTCTGCTCTCCTCCCTGACTTACTTTTGAAATGCCCGTCACAAGATACATGCCCTCCGGCACAGGAGCTACCAGGTTTTAATCAGGCGTTGTCTGATAGCCTGATAGAAGCCCACCACCCTATGTAAATGAAGCATTCCAAGAGTACCTATCAGCTAAGGCTTCTTCTACTGTCTCCACACTATAAATAGTCCTAGTTTCACCCCAATAAAGCTGGAGCTGGAGCTGAATCACTGAGATCTGAGTTGAGTCCTTGTCTGAAGCTGTAACACTAAATCCTGTGATCCAGTCTCCCTGGGGGGGCTATCCTTCCGTCATCGACTCACGAAGACCCTGCTTTCGCCATCCTGCACCTCCCCTCGTGACCCAGCAGCTGACGGATCTCAAACCCAGAGGGAGTGCACGGTAGATTGGGATGGAACCCGCCTGGGAGCGCAGCGATCAGTAGAGTCACCAGCACCCAGTAGTCACGGAGACCCACAGCAACGCGGTGTGGGACGCGCGCACCCCAGCAATGTGAAGAGCCAGGGACCCAAACAGCAGACACGTGCACCCAGCGGCCGGTGGGAGACCGGCGCCACGCCCAGCAGCTGGCGCTCTGGAACCGCCGCGCCCCCATAATAAGTGTAGGAGGTGGCCTTCACATTCCCTAGGTATCAGAACAGGGACTGGCTCTGGCAGTAGGTTATGGAGTCCAGAAGCTCTCTCTATCTCCACCTCTATGTTTCCAAGGGGGATTTCTGACACCAGATGCCCTTCCAGGCAGAGCTGAGGCCAGGCCCACACACACTGAAGGGTTCATCAGTACCTGGTTCTTACCTCTCTCTGCAGTGTGCAGGCTGCAGTGGCCCACCTTGCCTCCCTGCTCCACAGGGGTCAGGAACTTCGCCTTGCTGGTGGTATGGTCTATGGAGAGGAAGGTAGTGACAGAGCTCTCCTCTGCTAGCCTAGAACAGGATCTGTTCACTCCCCCTTTAAGCAATGTGTGGCAGTGTCAAGGGGGGCACCAGCTGGAGCAAAGTGAGGCCTCCCAGTTATCCCCAGCAAAGAGCATGAGTAGTAAGAACAGGAGGGGGAGTTTCCATCCTGCCAGCATAGACAGGAGGAGCCAAGTCACCTACTTTACTCTTACCCCATGAAACACTGAGGTAAGCCGAAGCCCAAGAGGGGGAGGTCAGTTTATTTATCAGTCATCTTGATAAACCCTGGCTGCCCTTCCTGCATGTCCTCACTTCTGCCTCAGAGCTGGCCACCTTCCATAATGAAGCATCCCTGCAGCATGCTGGTACCTGCTTCTGGAAGAGAACCTTCATACCAGGAAGAGAAGGCTTTTCTGGGTCTCAGCCTCCCAACACAGTGGAGGAATAGACAAACAGTCAAATGTTTACCTCTCCAAATCGTGAGAGAAATCATGTGTTTAAGCAGGATGGGATGGAGTAGGAACAGCTACAAGCCTAAGTTCTAGGGGCAGACATAAAGTAAGGAGGCCTCTGCTCTACAGCAGTGAACTGGGACTGGACAGTGGGGAACAGATCCAATCTGTGTTTAGTGTCCATGAAGCCTTGGATAAGCCATTTAACCTCTCTGCAAGCAGGATGGAACAGGAGTAGGTATAGCTACAAACATCTGGATCTAATCAAGTCTCACACAAACACACACTTGTGAACATTTGCCTGGAAGACCTAATGTTTATGGCTGGCCCTCAATTCCTAGGCCTGGAACACCTTTACAAAGCATGCCCACAATTAATTCTAAGGATGGGATAG